CCCCAAAACCCCAAAACCCCAAAACCCCAAAACCCCAAAACCCCAAAACCCCAAAACCCCAGAATCTCATAAAGTGTTTGAAAGTTCTTATTTATATAAATTTGTCTTTTTACTTTTCCTCAACACTTTTCCAGGACATGTCCCTGAGATTTCATAAGTCCTTGACTTCAAAGGGAGATACTTGAGCTTGCTCCTAGATGGTTAGTATTTTACCCTACTTTGATTGGGAGTTACTGATCGTCTTCTGAGGTTCAAGGAACTTAGTACTATTGTTCTCCTTCAGAGATGGTTGAGTTCCCTGACCGTACCTTTCATTCGGATTCTTCATCCCGTTCCTAGAAACGAATCTCTTATATTTATTTTCAGTCATCTTAGCCTAAATTGATAAGTTAATGATGTACTGTTTTGGTTTTTGAAATCTTCCTCCTAATTACAGAGACCTTTTTGGTACAGCTATCTCTCTTCTTCTTTTTAGGCTTCTTCTCCTTAAGAGTCTTAAATGCTTTATTAGATCAGATATAGTTCTGTGACTCAATAGAATTTCTATTACTACATTCTGCTCTTCCTTTTTCTTTAAGGTAGTTCCAATAAGAGTGACTAATCTCATTATAGAAGGTATTCTCAGCCCTAGTGACAACTATCGAGCCCTTTCCTCTCTTATGCGCCTTTGAAGGCTGGGATTTCTCAGACAACCGGCTTGTGCTTGGTCTCTGAGATTCTGTCTTCTTATACTTAAATTCTTCTCGAGCCCTCTTTGTCTGATTCTTATTGTATTTTCTATGGCTATTCTTCTCAGTTCCAATAGGATTATAGAACTTGTAATCAGTCGCCTTGTTTGTGCTTCAGTAGCTTGACCTCTTGTTCACAGAAGAAAAGTTAGGAATATTGTCAAATTTATGCCTGATCAAGTTCTTCTTGATCTCAGTGTCATCAAAGACATGAGTATCTTTCGTTTCATAGCTTGGGTCGTAATACTCTATTCCTCTAGAGGGATTCTTTAAAGGCCTTTCAACTGTCTTTGCAATATTTTTGACTGAAACATCTATTGGAGAGATATCAATCTCCTCTACTAAATGATCCTCTTCAGTGGCCTTAAATGGAGTCTCCAATTCATTAGAAGTAGTTGATTCTGTAAAATTACTTATAAGTTTTTACCTTGAGTAGCCAATTTTGTATCGTTGGCTTTTTGTGGAGTAACAAATTTTTCATATTGCTTGTCAACCATCACGACACTCTTCTTAATCCCTACAAAATTTGAGTTCTGCTTCTTAGGAGGGTTCAGGACCAAGAGACAAGGCTTATTTTCTGAAGGAAATCCATCCATTCACTCATGCTGGGTTTTATCGTAGCTCATTGAGGTTATAAGACTGGAGAATATCTCCTCAAGATCATGAACTATAAAATTTAATTGCCAAATTACCTTGTTTATCATTTTCTAAATTTACAAATTCCATAAGCTCTATAGTTATGGGAGGATCACTCAGGATCATATTCAGGCACAAAGTATGGAGGATCTTTATGCATCCTTCAAACTCCTCTCACTCCATCATCTCTTCCAAGTCTGGTGATGGAGTACTGGCGTCTCCATCTTCAAACAATTTGCAGAATTCTTCTGCGGGGAGTGATGTCTTAAACTTTGTCTTTAAAGTTTCCAGCAGCTTGTTTGAAATCTCAGTTCAGAAAGTTTTATCGTACTTAAATATGTACCTTGAGTAGATCTGGAATACCTTCTCGATCCTTGTTGATACTGACCTCTTATCCTCTTCTTGAGAGATGCTTAGAACCCCTATGATTTCATCTTTATTTCCTCTGAATCAAATTTTTGATTTCCAACTGACAAATATTAAATGTTGTTTGAATCAGCAGGATATATAAGTGCTGGTCATCATAAAAGTTTGCAAAGGCATCAATTATTTTCTCAGTGGTTAATTCCTTCCAAAGTTCCTTGAACTCACTAGGGAGTAAGGCAGTGGAGGAGGTGTCATTTGTGCTCCTTCCATCAACAGATATCACCTTCTGAAGGCTCGCAATTTCTTTATTTAAGTTTTATTCATTCAGCCCTTGACTTCATCAAATCAGTTTCGAGTATGCCAAGCCGGTTCTGGAATTGGCAGTTAGGGCCTCAGGCTTGTTTGAGTCTACTTTCTATTTCTACTACAAAAATTTCATAAGGGTTTAAAAATTTGCCAAATTTCCAGTAATTCTACTTACCTGGTTGATGGACCGTTTGCATTTACAGATAATTCAATATAAATTTTATTAAATGGGGTTTTGGGGTTTTGGGGTTTTGGGGTTTTGGGG